TAATAATAATAATAATAATAATAATAATAATAATAATAATAATAATATGTGCTGCATCAGCGTAGTGATGTCGACAGGCTATATTTGCCCAGAAAAGCAGGCGGCAGAGGACTTTTGCAAGTGAAGCAGACAGTCGAAGAAGAGAAGTGCGCTCTGGCAGATTATGTGAAAGACAGTGTTGAACCAGCTTTGATGGAGGTCAACAAGAGGAAGCTGCTCAAAGTGCAGCAAACCAAGAATCAGTATAGAAAAACAGTGATGCAAACTCGGGCTGACAGCTGGTGTAGCAAAGCACTGCATGGACACTTCCTTGAAAAGATGCAAGGAAAAGTAGATAAGGAAAAGACCTGGTTATGGCTGACCAAGGGAACACTGAAGAAAGAGACAGAAGGCCTGATTCTTGCAGCCCAAGAACAAGCCATCAGAACGAATGTAATCAAAGCCAGAATAGAAAAACCTGCTGATGACCACAAGTGCAGACTCTGCAAAGAAGCGGATGAAACCATTGATCACATACTGAGCTGTTGCAAGACAATAGCTCAGACTGACTACAAACAACGTCACAACACAGTCGCTCAGATGGTCCACTGGAACTTGTGTCACAACTACCATCTGCCTGTAGCAAAGAACTGGTGGGATCATAAGCCTGAAAAAGTGAAAATGAGCATGCAAAACTACTGTAGTAGCAAAACTACTACTACTCCTAATACAGACTGACAAAGTTTTGGAACACAACACCCCGGATATCACAATTGTGGAGAAGAAAAAAGTGTGGATCATCGACATTGCCATTCCTGGTGATAGCAGAATTGACGAGAAACAACTTGCAAAAGTCACCAGATATCAGGACTTGAGAATCGAACTGCAGAGACTCTGGCATAAACCAGTGCAGGTGGTTCCAGTGGTACTGGGCACACTGGGTGCTGCTGTGCCTAAAGACCTAGGCAAGGTCTTGAAAACAATTGACGCTGACAAGATCACCATTGGTCAGCTGCCGAAGGCCACCTTACTGGGATCTGCTCGCATAATCTGCCAATACATCACGCAGTCCTAAACGCTTGGGAAGTGTTCGACTAGTGATTTGTGATACGAAACCCAGCATGGTTATCTTGTCTGCTGTGTATACTGTGTACAACAACAACAACAACAACAACAGCAACAACAATGACAATAATAATAATAATAATAATAATAATAATAATAATAATAATAATAA